CGGTGCGTGGGACATACGGGACAAACCCAACGGGCCAGCGGCGTATCCGGACATCGACCCGATTATCCGGATTCGCCCGCGGTCCTCCGTGGCTCATTTTCGATTCTTGTCCACGGGAAGCAAGCGGCGATGGTCAAGTTCGGCAAGAAGCTGCTGCTCAACGTCAACCCCGAGTGGGAAGGGTACGTCGCCTGCATGGACCATGGCAGCCGCATGCGCGTGAAGATGGCGCCTTCCGCGGCGCGAGGCAAGCGGCGCCGTGGAGCCCATCGCGCGCGCTCCTGCGGGCCGAGGCGAAGGATAGGCAACTCATGGAGCAAGTAGGCAATACCTCGAGTACCGCCAGCTCAAGAAGGACCTGAAGAAGCTCACGCTCCGCTCCAAGGACCCGAACGACCCGCTCTTCTCGCCCAAGTCGCAGGCCAAGATCGCCGAGTTTGGCGAGGCCGAGACGCGCAAGGAGCTGCAGCAAGAGTTTGAGAAGAAGCTGGACGCGGAGATTGAGAAGATCGTGCTCTTCTTCCTTACGAAGCAAGGCGAGTTTGCGCAGCGGCTCGCGACGTACCGCCAAGCGCAGCAGTCGCTTCAGTATGCGTCCGAGGCGCAGACCATCGCGAGCCTCGCCGACGGGTACCGCAAGATTGGCGAAGAGCTCGTGCATTTGCTGCACTACGTCGAACTCAACGCGACGGGGCTTCGCAAGATCCTCAAGAAGCACGACAAGAACAACAAGGCGCACAAGATCACGGACAACTACATTAGCACGCGCGTCGACGCCAACGTCTCGCACCTCCAGCAGCTCTACCACGACGAAGGTATGACATCCCATTCCCATGCTGCCACGTGCTTATGTTTCATGCTAGGTATCTCGGCCATCATCGCGACGATCCGCGTCGCGCTCAAGGACCTGCAGTCGCTCCAGGCCGACCTTGGTTTGCTGCCATCGCCGCTCGCCGCGCCGACGCCGTCGTACAAGTCGTCGTCGACGACCCTCGTCAAGATGGAGCGCTCGATCAGTGAGACGGAGCCGATTCTGAACAAGATCTCGGTGGCGCGCCAGCGGTTCGTATCCCTCTTCCACGTCCGTCGCACGTCTCATGCATGTACCTAGGTTGCATCAATCGACGCGGTATGCTAAGGCGATCGCCGCGCAGTCGCTGATCTTCGACTCGGATCTCTCAGAAGACGAAGAAGAGGTCGTGTACACAGCGTTCAAGGCCCAAAAGCCGTCCGAGATCTCGCGCTGGCTCAACATGATGAGCACATTCTTGTACATGACCAACTACTACATCGTCGCACCCACGGCCGGCGACTACGCCGAGCTGCTCGGCGGCTCGGCCGCGCTCAGCGGTATCGTGGTCGGTATGACGCCCGTCGCGTCGATGGTCTCGGCCGTCGTCTACTCGTGGTGGGCCAACAAGTCGTTCAAGTCGCCGCTGCTCTTCTCGACCGGCTGCCTCATCGTCGGCAACCTCCTCTACGCGCTCGCCTTGACCTACAACAGCTTTACGATGGTGCTGCTCGGCCGTGTCCTCAACGGTCTCGGTGGCGCGCGCTCGATCAACCGACGGTATCCAATCTTCTTGTTTTGGATCGATCCTGGATACTTATGATTCTTCGGTGATGGATAGATACATTGCCGACAACTACTCGCGCGAAGAGCGCACGATCGGGTCGGCCTTGTTTGTGACGTACTCTGCGCTGGGCATGTCGGCCGGCCCCGCCACCGCCGCCGCCCTCGACTACCTCCCGGACATGAAGATCTTTGGCGCGCTCGTCACCATCGTGACGTCGCCCGGCTGGCTCATGTGCGGTGCGTCCTTGCATGCATGCTGGGGTCACCAGAAACTCATGATTGTCTCGCTGTAGCGGTCTGGACGATCTACTTCTTTGGCGTCCTATTCTTCTTTGTCGAACCGGACCGCTCGGCGCGCGACAAGCTCATGCCGAACGCACGCGCTCGATGGTGGCGCTTGAATCCGGTCGCACCAACTCGGCCTCGGAGCACACGCCGCTGACGACGCGCGCGTCGATGACGGCTGGCCCGTCGCTCGGATCGCTCTGGAAGAACGTGCCGGTGGTCACGACGCTCTGCATCTACGTCGTGCTCAAGCTCGTGCTCGAGATCCTCATCACGTCCGCGACCGGCATCGTCGACTGGTACTTCCACTGGGGCTCCACCTCGGCCGGCATCTTCCTCGCGTTCCTCGGCCTCCTCATGTTCCCGTCCAACCTCCTCGTCGGCTGGCTCAGCTACCGGTACCTCGACGGCGAGCTCATCTTGTACTCGGAGATCCTCATGCTCGTCGGCATCATTGGCATCATCGTCTGGGCCGCCACCTACACGGTGTACCAGTACATCTTTGGCGCCGTCATGATCTACGTCTTCACGAACGTCCTCGAGGGCGTCAACATGAGCCTCCTCTCCAAGACGATCCCCAAGTCGTTTGCGCGCGGGACCTTCAACGCCGGTCTCCTCGCGACCGAAGCCGGTACGCTCGGCCGCGCGCTCGGCGACGGCGCCGTGAGTCTTGCCGGCTTGCATGGCATGGACCACCTCCTCAACGACACGTTCATCCCGATGGCGATTGTGACGCTCATCATCATCTTCCACACGATCCGCGTCTACCCGCTCCTCGTCAAGAGCAGCTACTAAGATGAAAGTACTTCTGCATGTTGGCGTCTTCTGGATTCGCATCGACGGTCATAGTGCAGAAGGCCCATCGCGACCGTCATGCAGGCGTCGCGTGTGGCCGATGAGCCTGCAGCGGTAGGATGGACAGCTTCGTCGTTGACGTAGATGGCGGCTCGCGCTTGCGTCGATCGTAGAGTAGGCTGCGACGGCTGGGAGAGGTTCGCTCGCAGGTAGAGCTGCAGCGATCTCGCCAAGGTCATGTGGCCCACGCCCAGCATGGCCATGGCGCGTGGAAGGCGGAGCACAGGAAGCAGGCTCGCGCTCGCTGCCGCCATGATCGACAGCCGCATCGCTTCCACGTCCAGAGCCTGCGCAATACATCCATGGTCATCGATTCATCGAGAGGGTTCCATGGCCCATGTCACCGCCTCGTGCTTGCAGGTCCGCAGCGCTTCTTGCTTTGCAGCATGCCATCATCATGGAACTCCTCTCTCACTGGCTAAGTGCAACGTTGCAGATAGCGTGCACCAGATGGGGATTGGTCGATACTGGCTGGGATGGAAATTCAAAGTATTTTGGCCAATCCGCGTTGCGTATTAGGTAACGGAGTCCGCGGATTGGTTGGATTTGAATTTTCAAATCCCGAATTCAAACAAAGGGCAGAAGCGGATTTTGGATGACGACGGACGACCGGACCGCCATCGCGCCGACCGAGCGCCACATGGAGGCAGCGCGCGAGGTAGACATGCCCATGGACGACGCTGCCATCGTGCGACCGATGGAGGCAGCGCCCGAGGAGGAAGCTGTCGAGGAAGACGCTACCAGCAGCGTCCCCATGGGCGACGTCCAAGACGAAGCACATGAAGCTGAGGAAGAGCCGATGCATGAGGAAGAGCCCCTCGAGGGCAACAAAGCGCTCGATGGCGACGTCGAGGAGGCTGTCAACGAAGCTGTGGGTGTCGTTGAAGAGGAGAGCGCTGCTGCCCCGGCGACGAACGAGACGGCCGCTCCCGAGCTCGAAGAAGCACCTGCCCGCGACGAGGTCCTCGATGAGTCTGCGGTCGGAGCCGAACCCGAGGCTCTGCATGAAGCTTCGTCGGCGCGGGAGCCTCTCATGACGCCGGCAAAGACCAGCACGATGGCCTCGGAAGCCTCGGTCGACGCTGTGTATGCGACGCCAGAAGCCAATGGTGCGTCGCCTGCTTTCAGCGGGGACATTTCGTATGACGGTCCAAGCCACTTTGACTTAAACACGCCGAGTGCCAAGAACCTCCGCGAGGGCGACGAGGATGCTAAGACGGCCTTTGTCAAGACCCCATACAAGCAGCCGAACGCCAAGCTGAGCTACACGTCGCTGGAGCTCCAAGCCATCAAAGCGCGCCGGGCTGAGATCGAGAAGGAGAAGCTCCGCAACGAAAAGTACCGTCTTCTCGCGCAGAAGCAGTCGACGCACCAAATGGTCGAACGCTCGACCAAGCCGCTGACGCTGCCGATCACGCCCGAGCTGCTCAGCACCAAGCGCGGCGCGTTCCGCTGCGCTGGCCACGACGCAATGCACCCGTGCACGCCCGAGTGCGATCGCAAGGCCGCCGTCTTGACGGCCGAAGAGCTCGTCGCGCGCCCGGACCGCGTGCGTATCCCGTCGTCCAAGCCACTGCGTACGACGTCGGCCCACTCGCCGTTCCTCCAGACAGCAACCCGCGCCCGTCGCAGCGACGTCACCGAAGCCAGCTACACGGACAAGAGCAACGGGCCCATCTCGGCCGCCGATCTTGTGTGCCGCAAGCCCCGCGCAGCGTCACCAGTCCGCGTTCTCAAGCGCACGGTGCCGGCGTCACCGTTCCTCGCGACCAAGCACCGCGCCAAGAAGCCGCGCTTCGACGACAAGGAGAACATGGACCCGTCGCCGACTGTCGTGATGACGGCGGAAGCGCTCGTGGCGCGACCGCTGCACACCAAGATGACACAAAAGGACGATGTCGCCAAGAGAGCCATCACGATCGCGATGGCGCCCCACCTCGCCACCATGGAGCGTGCGACTCTGCAAGCGACGTACCGCAAGGCCGTACCGCTCATCGACGAGGACGCGATCGAGCTCGCCAAGCCGTTCCACGCCTCGCCCGTGCCATCGTCGTTGCACAAGCAAAGCAAGCTCAAGAAGACGCGCCGGTCGCCGCTCGCGACGGTGCAAGCCACGACGCCGCCGCTCAAGTCGCTCGAGCGCCACGCCAAGTACAAGGCCGAGTTCGAGGCGCGCACGAAGCAGCAGCGCGACGACGACGACGCCAAGCGCGTTTTCAAAGCACAGCCCATGCCGATCGTCTCGATGCATGCGCCGGTCATCAAGTCCAAGACGCCGCTCACGGTTGCCGCGCCGTTCCAGTGCCCTGGCGACGTCTTCCACGAGCGCCACCTCGAGCGCATGCAGGCGCTCCGCGAGCAGGCCGAGGACGATATGCGCAACATGATGCGTGTCAAGGCGACGCCGATCCTGCTCGCGACGCACAACGTCGGCGTCGCGCCGTCGACCAAGCCCCTGACCGAGGCCAAGAGCCCGTCGCTGGCGCTCAAGCGGCGCATGGTCGACCGCGCGGCGTACGACAAGAAGGAGCAGGAGCGCCGCCAGCGGGACGAGGAGGCGCGCCGGGTGCTCGCCGACGAGGCCGCGCGGAAGGAGCAGGAAGATCTCAAGGCGTACCGCAAGAACGAGCTCACGTTTCGCGCGCTCAAGCGGCGAAGGACCAAGGTGCAGGAGTAGTTTGTATTACATGTAAAAGTCGAGGAGGAATTTCTTGTAGATGGTCATAAACTTGGCGAGGAACGCTTCGAGGTGGAAGATGGCCTTCTGGCCGCACTGGAGGCGGTGCTCCTACGTGCAAGACACGAGTGAGGACGACATGGCGATGGAGACGTGGAGAGACGTAGTAGGCGGCGTAGTGGGCGAGTTCGTGCTTGAGGTCGTCGTCGAGCCGGCACGTGAGCTCGCGAAGAAGCACCTTGAGGATGATGTCGGACGGAATGCAGTTGGAGAGGAGCTCGTATAATTTATCGCGGGCCTTGAGGAGGCTGCCGGGACTCTGTTCCTGGAGCACGTCCTTGGCGAGACCGGCAATGTACTCTTCCCACTCGGGCAGCGGGATCGGCTGGTCGGCCATGAACGGGTAGCTATGTACATGCATCAACATGGGTCGCCGTGGCAGCTTGAGGTACTTTTGGACGCGACAGGTCTCGAGCATGAGCAAGGCGCGGCGCAGGTTGCGCTCCGACTTTTTCGCGATCTCCATGGCCAGCGGCGCGCAGAACGAGAGGTTCTCCTTGACGCAGACCTTTTGCAGGACGCTGACAATCTACATGCGCATCCGTTTGTGGTGATGATGATGATGATGGAGGGAGATTGTGGTACCTCGTCGTGCGTCGGCGCGCCGATGCGGATGCCCAGGCAACGCGAGCGCAGCGGGTCAATCACCTTGGACGGGCTGTTGCAGCAGAGGATGAGGCGGCAGGAGCCCGTGTACTTTTCCATCGTGCGACGCAATGCATGCTGCGCGGCCTTGGAGAGCTGGTCGACTTCGACGAGAACGACGACCTTGAACTGCTTTTGCGCGTTCGTGTCGGCCAAGCGGTACATGGCGATTTCCTTGATGACCTCTTGGACGACGAGCCGGTCGTCGTTGCCAACGTCGGAGGGGTTCATCTCAATGTGGTAGTTGGAGGCGACCGTCGTGATCTCGACCTTCTTGGACTGCGTCGGGTGCTTGAACGTCTTGTGCTCGAGGCGCGTCTTGAGCGCGTTGGGGCCGTAGAGCTCCTTGAGGAGCGCCATGACGCGGGTCTTCTTGCCCGCGCCCGAGGGCCCATAGATGAGCAGATGGGGCAGCTCTTCCGAGGCCGCTAGGCGCTTGAGGCGGTCGCTGATCGGCGCATGGAAGTCCAGGCGGTCGAGGCTCGTCGGGCGGTGCGCGTCGACCCACAGCATTCGGCCACTTGTGGGGTTGGCGGAAAAATGGAAATTGGCGCGCCGCAACCCTAAAACACGTGTCTTTTTATGCCAAAGGTTTTATTTTGCATACAACAATACAGTACACAACCACGCTCTTTATTATAATATCGTTTCAATCGACCGATCGCACCATTGTATTTTAATCAACTGGAAACCGCAGCTTATGCAGCACGACGGCGCGCTGCTGCTCATGCTCCCGAGCTTCCGGCGCTGCCTCGAGGACGACCAGCTGCATGCGATGGAGATGGCCTATGGCATGCGCCGCCCAGGCCAGGTAGCCCATGGGCTACGCGCCCAAGCGACGACCTCCAAACACCTCGAGCGCTACACGTCCTGGAAGCTCGACCCGACCAAGATCGACGCGCTCGTCCAGGCCGAGCAAAAGGCGCGGCCGCGCTGGCCCGCGTGACGTCGACGCATTGCGAGCCTGACGGAAGCGCCATGGAGCTCGAGTTCTACGCGTCGGGCAAGCGTGGCATGCTCTTCGTCAATAAGCTCAGGACGGCCTTGGTCAAGGTGCAAAAGCTCGACGGGCACGGGATCGAGGTCATCGAGAAGGAGACCAAGTGGCTGCGTATCGTCAACCGCGTCTCGATCGGGCCGCGGCTCCTCGGCGCCGGCGACGGGTACTTGATGTGCGAATTCCTCGCCGACGGCGTCGACGTCGTCGCCTTTCTGCAGCGCCCCTCGACGTCGCGCGCCGACGCCACCTGGTGTCTTCGCAGCGTCCTGTACCAAGTGCGTGGCCGAATTGCCTCTTGCAGTATGTCCGTGGAGGCCTCATGCGTGCTCTACGAGTAGTGCTACGCCGATCGGCTCGGCATCAACAAGGCCGAGATGAGCCACCCGATGCGCCACATCATCGTCGTCGGTGCCCGCGTCGTCTTCGTCGACTTTGAGAAATGCACGTACGGCCGGCAGCGACGGAATGTTACCCAAGTCTGCCAGGTACTGTAGTCCATGCGCAACGTGAGGACGACGACGACGACGACTAGTTCCTGGCCTCGCCACGCATCGTGTCGGCGGTCGCGGCCAAAGGCCACAGCTTCGCCCTCGACAAGCTGCGCGCAGCGACCAAAGCGTACAAGGCCAACCCGCACTCGTCGACGCTGGCCGCCATCTTGCAAGCGCTGCATCTCGCATGAGCCGCCGCGTCGCGCGACCCGATGCCAATCAACCATGGCGTCATGGGCGCCGCTAAGATGAGAGCTCCATGTCGCCTCGCGCCCATCGTGCGGCAACGACGCCACCGCTAGGTAAAGAGGATAAGGTCCGTGGATGGCCTGCGATAGCGCGGATGGGTTGTCTTGTCCATCGCCGGTCGCATGAAGCGACGCTGTCTGCAGGTCCATTCGCCTGCGCTGCTGAGGCATGGGCTACCTGGTCGCGTGGGCCTCATGTGCGACGATGGATCTGGCCCGCCCGATGGCACCTTTTGATTCGCTGAAATCGTCGTATATTTGTCCAATCCGGAGACGTCCCTTTCGCAGCAGATCCCATTTCGCTTTGTGTCCGTACGATAGCAACATGTTTCCGGCCTTTGGCACGACGGGCGGCGCGCGGGTAGGCGGGCAGGAAGGCCATGGCCATGGCCTTAGCCCAGCATGTAGGCGTCCTTGGTGGAGTTCAACGCGGGCAAGATGACGGCGGCGCCCAAGGAGGCGGGCAGCACCAAGCTCGTCGTGACGCCCGACCTCCAGAAGGGCAAGATCCTCCTCATCCGCGAAGACGACCAGCTGCTCCACTTCAAGTGGAAGAGCCGCACGACGGGCGTCGTCACCGACGTACGGCCCACCCTTGGCGCCTCCTCCGACGGCTCATGCGAACTAGGACTTTATCATCTTTCCGAACGACGCGTCGTTCCAGAAGGTCGACACGGGCCGCGCCGACGACCGTGTCTACGTCCTCCAGTACAAGGGCTCGTCGCGGCGATTCTTCTTCTGGATGCAGGTGAGATCCATCGGCGTGTAATCCGTGGTCGCTCATACGACGATGAATCGCAGAACAAGGACAGCGCGAAGGATGCCGAGCAAGCCAAGAAGCTCGACGAGCTCATGAACACGGCGCAGACGGCGGCGCCAGCGTCGGGCGCATCGCGCCAGGACAACGACCCGAACGCGCCTCTGGACCACAGCGCCATCATGCAAATGCTCGGGTATCCTGCGTGTTGCATCGCCGCCCTCTCCACATACTTACTGGCCATGCTAGGGCGATGGGCGGCGGCGCGGGCAATGGCGCGGGCTCGAGCACGGTGCAGATGGCCGAGCTCCAGCAAATCTTGCAGCACATGGGCATGCCGCCGGGCAGCAGCGCGGGCGCGACCGCCAACCCTTGTACATATCAATGCGATGCTTCGATGGCTCATGCTGCTTTCGTAGCGACGGCGTCGGTCGTGACGTCGCCTGCCCCGTCGGCGGTCCCGACGTCGCCCCACGACGACGACGACGACGACGACGACGAAGACGTCAACATGGAAGACATGACGGAGGAAGAGCTCCTGCGCTTGGCGATCGAAGAGAGCATGCGCGACGTCCAGGACGACTCGGCCCACGACACGGAAGGTCCGCAGTCGCCCTAGATAACACTCGAAATCCATTTCCCTTTCTCAACACGTCTTGACCTGTAGTCGCGCCACCGACCGCCATCCCTGCACCGACCGCCATCCCGACGCCGTCGATCCAGCTGGCCGACCTCCAGCGTGCGATGGCCGCTGCCCTCAACGTAATCCAAGATCCCCAGGCGGCATGCCCGTCGAGAACGCCAACATATTCTGCGTGTAGGTGCAACAAGCTCCGACGCGCCCCGTGTCGATCACGGCGCTCTTGCAGCAGCCGGCGGTGGCCGCGCTCCTCGAGGACCCGGAAGTGCAGGCGACGCTGCTGCCACTGCTGCCCGAGACGCTGCAGACGCCGCACGAACTGCTCTCGACGGCGCGGACGCCGCAGCTGCGGCAGTGCGTCGGCGCGCTCAGCCACGCGCTCAACTCGTCCAACTTTAACGGGATTCTGAGCAACTTTGGCTTGAATGCCAACGCCGGCCACGCGCAGCTCATGCGCGGCGACGGTATGGCAAGTATGAGGACGAAGGCGACTCATGCTGGACGTGACAGGTGTCGGCGCGTTCTTGGCGGCGGTGCAAGCCTGGGGCGAGGCCAACAAGTCCAACTAACCAGCTTCTTGCAATATGGGCCTAATGCAAGGTGGTTGTGCTTTCTTGATGGATCGCAGCACCACGTCGACGCGCTAGGACTGCGCATCGGAGTCGTGGCTGCGTCAACAGAGGTAAACAGACTGGTTAGTTTCTATGCAATTGGCGTTTACTCTTCCTTCTTGATGTCGCCAAACTGCTGCTGGATCTCGGCGTCGTAAATGGCTTGGGGCTTCTCCTGCGAGAAGAGGTCGTGGCCCCGGCGCGTCTCTAGACAGCTGCGTGAGCACGCAGATAGAGAGGAGGAGGAGGTCGTACTGTAGACCATGGGCGCGGCGCAGATGCCGAGGCCGAGGACGACGCCGACGAAGACCTTGCCGCCTTCGCGGATCGGAAGCGCGTTCAGGGCACGGTCGATCATGGCAGTCGAGCGAATTGGGGAATGCGAAGCTTCATGGCGACCCTGGATATGCGTGAGGCCATTGGCTGAAATGCGCTGCGCATAATATGTCGGTCTACCTTGCAGTTTGTATCCAGATATTGGTTTTCTATTGAATGACGCCAGAAACGCGAAAGGATTGGCAGATTTTACAAGCGCGGACACCCAGGATTGGGTGCGTTAGATGTGGCATATGCCACTATCGGCTGCGAAGCGGCGCCTGCAACTTGACGTCGCCGAGCACCTCGGCGGGCCCGCTCGAGGGCAAAGCGGGTTCCGTCCCTAGCAATAGGATTGACATGTATTACGTTGAGCTATGAAAATTGCAACGTAGGGATTTCCCAGGAGCAGCGATGGAAGGTACAGTCGTGTCTATGCAACAACTGCAGCGAGCGCCGTCGAAGTCAGGAGAAGCCACCGCGAACGTATTGCCCCTTCTTCCATATAAATGCGGTACAATGCATCTGCGAGGGTACACGACCGGGCCACACCTCTGGTATGGTGTCATGCGCTTTCCTCTCGACGACAATGCTACTAGTACGCCATGGTCCATGTGCCGAATTTAATGGCGTGCGATGCCATTGGGCGATTGTCGTAAAACTGGACGTGCATTGGCTGAGCCTCTTTTCTGCCTTAGGATTGGCCAAAACTACCCCTTAATAATATAAATCGGAGAAGATATAGATACTGTATATTTGTATGTACAGGTGAAAAAAATATTCTGTATGCAATTGGATTGGCTACAATAAATCGATGCGCGCGATGCCATTGGCAATAATCCGACGGCCCATCGACGCCAAGCGTTTGCACGGTGGCATTCTGCAAGTATGCTGCGCTCGATCATCTCGCGGGGCCTCTCGACGACGGCCGTGCCGCAGTTCAGCGGGAAGCTCAAGCACCCGGCGAAGCGCGCTGCGCACCTCATGAACCAGCTCAACGAAGAGGAGGTGGCCAAAAGCTTTGCCCGCAACCACCTCGGCAAGTTCAAGCCCGGCGACGCCGTCGAGGTCGAGATGCTCCTCAACAAGACGACGACCAAGATCCAGCGCGTCAAGGGCGTCGTCATCGGCGAGCGCAACCGCGGCCTCGCGAGCTCGTTCATCATCCGCAACCACATCGCCGAGTGCGGCTACGAGCAAAAGATCTTTATCCACTCGCCGCTCCTGCACTCGGTCAAGGTCCTCAAGGAAAAGTTCATCTCGAACGGCAAGAAGAAGGTCCGGCGCGCCAAGCTCTACTACCTCCGCGACAAGGCCCCGCGCTTCACGACCGTGTAAGGTGTGCAGGATGTAATAGAAGACAAGACGACGACGACAGCGACGTGTGCATACCCTTCCTGTCCTCATATGCCCTCCATGCAAGCCGACAGGACGCAGACAGGACGCAGACGCAACGTGGATGCAGTGCATTACAAGCGATACAGGGCATATGCGATCTAGCGGCGCTTGCGGGCGGCGGCCTTGCGCTCCATCGCGGACGGGCCCGTGACGACGCGGCCCTTGGCCTCGACAGGCGCCGCCTTCTTGGCGGCCG